CACCACTCAATACCACGTGCCGCCCGCAACCACCCGAATCGCGTAGCTGCCTGCCGAGTATCTATATGCTCGTGGAGACCGAGTATCTATATTCTCGTGGAGATTGGTCGTAGGAATGTGTCTTTTAGGGCCAGTTCTTCTGGTGGCTTTTTGGGGCTTCTAGAATAAGTCGCCCCTACCCAACTTTTTCTAGAAGCCCAACCAAAAATATTTTTTAGAAGCCTACTGTGAGAGAGTAACTAGTTAACGAGCGCTCATTCGGGAGCCTCACAACGATCAACACCACTTGCGCGCTCTCAGCCACCCCGCCACGTGTCGTCCTCTGGGCGCTCCCTTCGGATTTTGTTTTTATTTTTTCGCACGCGTTTTCAGTATTTTGAATAGGTTTTGTCCGGGTTTGTACGACGTTTCAGTTTTCCGCCGATCTTCTTTAACTGTTGGACCAAAAAGAGTCAAGAAAAAAAACGCGAAACAACATGTTTTCTTTTTCCTTTTTCTTCCTCGAGAGTCACGGTTTTACTTCCGCGAGAGACATGGTTTTGCTTCCGAGAGAGGCACGGTTGTGTTTTCGCGAGAGGCACGGCCGTGCCTCTCGGAAACCGAAAAAAAACATCTTTTCTGTTTTTTCTTCTTTCGCGAGAGGCACGATTTTTCTTCCCCGAGAGGCATGGTTGTGCTTTTGCAAGAGGCACGCCCGTGCCTCCCCGGAAACGGAAAAAACGCGTTTTCCCTTCTTTTTTTTTCATTTTGCAAGAGGCACGGTTTTGCTTCCGTGAGTGGCACGATTGTGATTTCGCGAGAGGCACGGGCGTGCCTCTTTCGGAAAGGAAAAAAATGATACTCCCGGTTTGGTTTTTCGAGAAAAAAAGTTCGTCAAAACCTATTCACATGTGATCTAATTTTGAAGATCTCGACGCGAGGAATCCAACGGTGAAAACAGTTTAAGATTTGGACGCACGGTTTAAGAAATAAAACATTTTGAATAATCAAATCTAAGAAAACGGGAAAACTTTCAGGTTGCGACAAGTGACGCACATGTACGCGCCAGATATCGCAACCTGGGAAGGTGTGAGTGATCTTTTCAATGAGTACTCATTAACTAATGATTTCGTACTTGTCAAGTCTTAATTAGTAGGCCTCTAAAAAATTAAATTTGATTGGGCTTTTAAAATAAGCCGGATAAGTGCATAAAATAACTGGCTCTTAATGGACCGGGGAACAACGTCGTGCTGTCCAAAATGAATACACTACACCGGAAGAGTAAATTCCCGGAATAATCCATGTAGGGCCTTCATGTCGAGATAATATAAATATAAATAGACCTGAAGCTTGTGTTGACCAATCGGGAGTTGATATTACTACTATTGTTACTTAACTCTTCCATCAAGTGTATTCAGAACACATGTGCGTTTTGTCAGTATCGCCAACACTAGTCTCTTTGACTATTCAGCGAGCGAGTTCCCGGGTCGTGCATCTATGCAGCTTCGCAGCCGACAAGAGAGAGAGTAGAGACCGCACCCACACCGTGGTGCCGCTGCATGCACTTTTATTTTCTCGATGAGAAACGCCAACTCCGTTCCAGCCCAAAGATAGGAGTAGATCTGTAGGGACCAAATCCCGAAATTGTTTACTGTAACACAAGTGGGGGGTACGGGCAAGACTGGTATTTGGCGGGGTGGCGGAGGGCATAGCGGGGAACCCAGGCTTTTGGGGCGAAATGGAATGAGGGGGTGGGCCCGCGCATGGTGAAGTGTGTGGGACACATGGGAGAGAGCGAGGACAGCACGGCAAGGTACAGTGCAGCTCTGGGCAGGAAACAAAAGCCGAGGTTCCAGCGGCACGAGCTGCGCGTGAGCCATTTCCATGGACCGCGCGGAACGCAGGCAAAAACTAGCCGCCGCGTCGAATAAAGGGGCTGTTTGGTTCTAGGCCTAGCATTGTCATATTTTTCCACATATTTCTGCCAAGTTTATTTAAGATTAGTTCATCGAAATGAAAGTCACAAGTTGACAAGCCTATGGGAATCTTGCTATAATTTTTTGTGTATGCCATGCGGGGTCCAAGTATGACTTGCCTAATGTGTGGCTTAAACCAAACACTCACCTAAGTTAGTCAAACTTGCCTAGCTTTAGGTGGATCCGGCTTGCCTGTTCCCTTCCCATGCTCCCATCCGTGCTCCCACTTGATCCTACGGTCGTCTTTTTTTCTTTTTCCTTTCTAATCTAATCATCTCCCCTCCTGATTTTAAGGGGATGGGGCCGGACCTTATGTTGTTTCAATCAAATCATGCCACATATGCGGGAGCACCGATGGGCACACACACGGGGAGCAGGCAAGTCTCATCCGCTTTAGGTGTGGCAACATTTGGCAAAGTTAGTCACAAACCAAACAACCCAAAAACGCGAGGAACAGGGGCCGTCCATGGACCGGGCCTAGGGCGTCGGCGGAGTCGAGGCGAGCGGCGACGGGAGCTGCGTCCGGCCGTACCGCAGTCCAAGCTGGCGTCCGCCCATTCCCAGCTCACACCAACCCCACTTCCCACCGCTTTGCTCTGCCCTGCCTGCCTGCGCCTTTTTGTTTCACCTCTTTTTTCGTGGACCAATAATAATAAAAAACACGGCCCGAAATGTGCCCCACCCGCGCCACGCGCTGCCACTCCTCCTCGAGATGCCGCTTCCGGCCACGTAGGCGCGCAGTCAGGCATGCAGAGGCAGGTCCCACCACCCTACCCTTCCCGCCAACTTGCCACGCCTCCCCAGCATCATCAACCACCCAGCAACAATCATGCACGCTCCACCCTTAAAAAAACAATCATGCACGCTCGCTCGCGCCTAAACACACTGCTGCTCTCTTATTCTCTGCCTATTATCAATCCCCATAATACGATCGAGATATATATTTCTATTTTCTATCCTTCCCACAAAGCAGCAAGGAATCATCAATTACTTTGTTCAGAACTATCGTTTTTTTTTTACTTTGCGATGGGTAGGTCTATCGTTTTTTTTCGAAAAGCCCAAAATCCGCTTTAAATAACGGAAATGTTAACGCCCACACATGTGGGCGTTCACCACCCCGACCACACGCAAGCACCTCCGTTGGCAACTTTGTGCACGAATCTTGAAACAAACCGGCCGGTTTTCTGCGCCACGTAGGACGAGGCTCATGTGCGGTATGCGAGTCGGGTCGCCCGCATGTTGGTTGGGTCAGCGGTTGCCACCCGGAGGCGTGCGGTGGAACCGCTATGCGCCCGCACGCCACGCTTCGGCCGCGGTTGACGTCAAACATGTCGCACCCCCTCCCCCTCACGGTTCCATTTACTCAGCCGCAGCGCAGTTACTGGCACAACCCACTGGAGGAGAAGGCGAGGGGAGAAGGCGACAGCGGAGGCGGAAGAATCGACGGTGTTCGCGGCCGTTGGTGGTGCTCGCCGGAACGAAGCGGCTGCGCCGGAGCGCCTGCAGGTTGAAGGTAATGCTCGCTTCAACTCTTGCACCCCCTTCCTGCATTTTTCCCCATTCCCTCCCTGTTTGATCCCTTGATCGAGATTCGTAGAGATTCAGGCGATTCTGCGATGCGTCGGCGTTCCCGCCGGCGCCGAAATCGTCTGGTAGCTGTTTTTGGTGGCACGGGGCAGTTTCCTCGCCGCCGCGGCGGCGACATCATCGGTGTGGTTATGCTTGTTCGGAGGCACGCACTAGTCTTGCATGTGGATTAGGCAGGTGTCTCCCGTTCTGTTTGATGCGCATTGGTTCGAATTTGTGTTTGCAGTCAGTTCGGGGGTGAATTTTGAGGGTGAATTTGAGGTCGCGGTAGTTGCCATCGAACCCTAGATCTAGTTAGTTTGGTTTTTGAAACTGTAGTATGAGGCGAACTTGGTAGTTTGATTAACTATCATGAGTGTGTGGCAACTAACTCCCTGAAACCAATGTGATAGTTGCCACAAACGTGTTTTCCTTTGCGGCAACAAATTACTGAAATGACTGTGATAGTTGCCACATATAAGCTTTCGCATGGGGCAACTATTTTTATGAATGACTGTGATAGTTGCCACACACACGCTCTTCCATGTGGCAACTAAATTTGCTGAATTACTATGATAGTTGCCACTAACATGCTTTTTCATTGTGGCATCAAATTTTTTCTGAATGATTTGTGTTAGTTACCACATTGTCATAGTCGCCACAATCTGTAGTCAATACAGTTTCAGCAGCTAGCTGCACTGGACGGCAACTAATGTGCACTTCAAGTGTGCCTGTTGCCACTTGGATAGTATATTCATGTGGCAAATAGAATGTGAACACACTGTATGTTGCCATTCTGCAGATACGACAGTATGGCAAATTGGCTGCATAATGTGGCAACCAAATTTGCATATCAACTGTGTCAGATGTCATACATATGCTTTGTATGTGGCAAGTTTTTGCCTAACCACATCATGTCTGTTGCCATGTCACAGTCAGTACAATGTGGCACATTCATTGTACTGTAGGTGCAAAAAAAATTTGGATTTTGCCGCAACGACTTTGTGATATCTGATCACACTGTGGCAATTTTCAGGTTCTTGATTAGATGTGGTTTCATCGATTTGTTGTAGTATGTGTTGCATTTCAGCACGACATTTTCAACCTAGCACATTTCTGCTACTGAACAAGTGGCATTTCATTGGTGTACTTTTAGGACAGTGTGTGAGCTACCACATCTTAGTTTTTGTGATGTGGAGGATTCTGTGACTTTCTATCGTACTATCTTGGGATAACATGGCAACTTTTACATTTTTTGTTTTCAAGTGCATTTACCACATGTACATTTTTTTACTTGATAATGCAACCAACGTGCTTACTTGCCACGTTTATGTTTTCGACAATCACAGGAGGGATGCGTGTGTGTTTATGTTATTTTTTCTGCATTCACTAGTTGACATTTTCTGTAAGGTGGCAAATGCTTACCTCTTGCATTTACATTCCCACCATGACAATTTGGTCTGTCCCTATCATAGCAGAATGGCTCGTGGCGATCATCAAAACAATAATGATGATTTCATGGATCCACCACAGCGTAATCGAGCAACTGGACGGATAAAAGAGGGTGATGAGGTAAATGTTCACACATCCCCCCCTCAATCCCGCTTTACGTTACTGGTTGACACCTCAAGCTTGGAGTCATCTGACACGGACTAAAATTTCATGACATTGCAAAACATGGCAACAACTGATCACTTATTGTCTGTTTTTTGCAGAAGAAGAAACATATTCGCAACAGACCCTCCCAAGAACGTCTGACTGCGTTGACTGACAAATTCACCGACGATCATAAGGGGGCTGTGGCTGAGATGGGTATGCAGTCTATGATGGTTGTCCGGTGCACGAACCTTGTCAACCCTGTATGCGACTGGCTTGCTGAGATCTACGAGCCCGCCTCCAGGGAGTTCGTGATTCCGGGACGTGGAAGACCTCCGTTGAACGAGGAATCCGTGTTCTGCACTTTGGGTGTGCCTCGTGGACATATCAAAGTCCCGTACGAGGTCAACAATGAGATCGAGGAAGCGCTGTTCCCCCGTTTGTTTCCTGGGTCGGAATCCATGCCGAACACGTCTGCAGTGGCAGATTCGCTGCAGGGCATGACGACGCATGGAGATGTTTTCAAGATGAAGCTACTCATGTACCTCATCTCAGCTGTTTTCGCGCCGACCACCTCTCTTCGCCCAAGCAACAAATGCTTCCCCATCTTGGTGAATGATCCATCTTTACTACTTTATTTTCCTTCAATCTTTGGCTCCGATGTCATATGTAAAGTTGGTGACTGCCAGTGTTTTTCGATGTTTTTTTCCATTTGATTTCTGATGCGGCAATTTTTTTTGCCCTGAAATTTTGTGTGGTGCAGGCGGATCTGAAAAATGTGAAGAACATGAATTGGTACAAGTTTATTGTTGACTTCCTCCACGATGCATTCTCAAGCAAGATGTACGAAAAGGGTTGTCGTCTGCATTTAATGGTAATTATTTACCAGTTCTTTCTGTGAACACTGTTTTATAACACACTTTTATTCATGCATGCCAACCTGATCATAACAAGATGGCAACTGCCATAATGACAATATGGCAACTGTCATAATGACAATATGGCAACTGCCATCATATTAGTATGGTAACTGTTATCAGACTATGATGGCAACTGCCATCTTAGCAATAATGGCAATTGCCATCACACTATGATGGCATGTAGGACATACAGAAGGCAACTTCTTTCTTTATTCCATTCTTTTCCATGCACACCAACTTGATCATTATGGGAACATACATTATCTTGTTTTTTTAACTACAAAGTACCCATGACGACAACTGATATTTCTTTCTTTCTAAAATTGTTTTAAATTAGCTCATGTATGTCGACTGTCTTGATCTGTCCATCGTGGATTTCACTGGGGTAGGAGGCCCGCCGCCTACGCACAAGTTCGCTGTGTCTGCATGGACTATCAACGCTGTCAAGACTGTGCTTGCCGCAGACAGGGTAACTGATACCAAATATGGAAAACTGCAGGTTAGTTTTGGTTTCTCTCTCCACACGGCATGCTTACAAATTTGACACAAAGCAACCGTCCGTGGTTCATAAGGGATGACTACCTTTTGTTATTCATGGATGTATGCGTATTGTATCCATGTTTCACTCCACAAGGGAACTCTTTCATTCGTGCTGAAACTTACCTTCTACCTCTTACATCCTTGCTATTTTTTTGTTTTTTCTAGCTGATGGCCAAGCATGCTATAGACTACAGCGTGTTTGGGGGGCCTCAAAACTTTGGAAAGTGGATGGATGTGCACTCAGCTCCGTCTTGCCCTACTGAGGTAATCAAAATATGTACATCTATGATTTGCCGTGGATTATTTGTTGATGTCGCGCAATTGACTGCAATATGGGTGGTTGTTGATGCTTCTTGTTTCGTGCACAGGCGAGGGCTCCTGTTGAGCATATAATTGGGCAGTTTGCATCCAGAATGACCGGCTTGCTCGGGAAGTTGGTTGAGGGGTGGACGTCTCACAGTGGCTCTGACAGTGACGCGGTTGCGAGGCAGTTCACTTCATTTGTCCCAGAACATACACATCGGCCAACCGGTTGCCGTGGCCGGTATGACTACAACAGTTCACAAGAGCCCAGTGACACACAAGATGATCTAGATGGAGACGCTGGCCTCAGCAAGGATGACGATGATGACATGGAGAACGTGCAACAGGACACCAGCGATGATGAACATGCTGAAGTTCGCGCAGGTGGTAACAAGGACAAGGATGCAACATATGTCCCCCCACCGGAGAAAGTCAAAGAACATACGGTTGCGAGAGGTGAGGGGGTGTTGCCATCAAGGAGGGGAGGGCTCCAGGAGATGTTGGGCAGGGTTCTCGTGGCAAGAGGTCTAGGACCGATCCCGTAGCTGCCAGGAGGAGGTTCGACTTCAATTTTAGTTTTTTGCTGTGTCTATTTTCTTGGAACAGTCTCATCCATTTATTGCACTTGTTTTTTGTCAAGCGCGGTAATGAGTTTGTTGTCTGACAATTGCCATATTTTTTTTCCTCCAACTCATACGTGCAGCGAGCCGACCGCTGGTGGACGAGCAGTTACGAAGAAACAGGCGCCAACGCCAACCCGTGTTTCTGCTCGCTTGAACAAAGGTGCCCCCATTGCCGGTGACACCCCTTCCACTAGGTCTTCTCCTCGTACAACGACGACCAACACCGGGGATCCTGTCGTGTTGCCAGACCTGAGGAAGCCAGTCAAGAAGTAGGTTTCTCCATGTGCTTTTATTGACATAGCGCTATATTTTCTTGATTTTTCAATGCATCTGCTTAGCTTGTCACATGGTCTTCTGTCATCGTCCCCCACGCGGCAACTGCTGTTCTTCCAAATGATTTCTTCCTTCATTTTAAAGTGTATGGCAACTCAATGTTGGTTTTTACATGGCAACTGGCATCTAAGCCAAATGGCAACTCTTATTGTACCTAATGGCAACTGCCATCTTTTACCGTTGGCTTGTGAGCTCATCCCACACCTAGTTTTGAAATTGCATTCATGGCAGATCAGACATTCTTATCATTCTTCAAGGTGGCTAACATCCCAACTGCTGCTGGATGGCAACTGCTAATTATGACACATGGCCACTCACGTCCCCCTTACATGGCAACTACCAGCTTTTCCACTTGTTTTTTATTTTTTAAAGATTTCTACCATGGCAAACATATTTTCGTTCATTTTTCAATACCTTTGTCATGTGCTTTATTTTTTTTTATTTTTTTGCAGGGTGAAGAAGACTACCATGCGCGGGGCCAAGCATACCAGTAAGGACCCGCTCGAACGCCTACATTCAAAGTTGTCTATAGGGGACAACTCAGATGTACATGAGGCACCAGGCGACAATACTGCTGCTGATCGCTCCCACCAACTCTGATGCAAGTGGCCGACCATCTCCGCCGGCTGCAGATGTTTAGGCTAGAACAACAGGCATCCGTACATCGGGGAGTGAAGAGTCAGTATCTGCCAGGACAGCTGAAATATTGCCAACTCTACTAGCAATGAAGGATGCTGCTGTGAGCCATGCCACCACATCAGCAAGCGTTGAAGTGGACGCTCCCGAGACGAACCTAAGCAAGGAAGATTCCCGCTCATCTGACACTGATTCCAAGCGCGTGCGTGGTGGCACTCCTGTGTCTACTACAGAAGCGTCTGAGGCGGCAGTTCACAAGGATATGCCATCTACAGGTGAGAGTCTTTGCACAACAGCTCCAGCTCCTGTCGGTACAGATACTGCTTAGGCGACCGTTTCGCGTGCTAGTCTTCCACCTAGGCGTCGTAGCCCCCGCAAGCAATCAACAGTCATACCCAACGCACCAGCTGTTGCTAGGAGCAGCAGAGACAAGTCTGGTTATGTCCCTGCGTCCACACTGTTCCCCCCACCTGCCACAAGCAATGCGATGGAGAAACCGGAAGACCGGAGCACAACTGATGCAGGTGTCAAGCCGGGCACGAGTGACACAGGTGAACGTTCGGAGCAGAGTGCGCTTTTACCCGTAGTGGAAATCCCCAGCTTAAATCTACGCACTTCCAAGCTCCCAGTCAATGTGGGTGTCCCATACAGCCCAAACAAGAAGATTGTCAAGAAAGCTGCGGCTGATACCGCTGACAAGACGCCCGCCCTGCAAATAAGCCCGATCATTCTGTAGCGGCCGATTCAGATATGTTTGTCGATTTTTCAACCTTGGATTCTGCCCCGCAAATTGTTCGTGGTCCGGCCAATAGGAATGAGAGGCACCCAATGGCCTTTACCCCACCGAGCTTCATCCTTGGCATCAGTCAAGATCAACCGGTGGTACAAGATCCTATGCCAGTTGCCTTTGCTTTCCCAGGAGGCATGCCCGCAATGATGGCGCAGCCAATGGTCGAGGGCAGGAAGGCTGTCAAGTTCGCAGAGCCGATTGTGCAAGGTACACTTGTCATGTCCTTATGATTTTCTTGCATACATCTTTATAGTTTGATTTTTGTCCCAATCATATTATTTTTTTGGGGGGTTCTCACTTGTGATGGCAACTGACATGTGATGACATGGCCACTGGATTTGATGCACCATGTCACATACATTTTTTTGCTGCCATGCTGCATTTAACATTTGGGCAACCACGTGGCACCTGAAGTTGATTCAACATGGCAACTGTAGTTGCTGTCACATGGCAAATACAGTGCATTACACATGGCAACTGGATTTGCCACACCATGTCATCTGTATTTTTTGCTTCCATGCTGCATTTTTTCATACGGCAATCACATGGCAAGTGCAGCTGACACAACATGGCAACTGTAGTTGCTGTGATATGGCAACTACAGTCCAACTAGATGGTAACTACATTGCAGCTACATGGCAACTGTAGTTGCTATGACATGGCCACTGTAGTTGGACCACGCATGGCAACTGACCCACTTTTTGTGCCCACAATCTCAGATCATGCACCCTATCTCCTCACAATCCATCTGTTTTTGATTTTCTAGGTATCCTAACACACTTTTTATTTTTTTTATCATTACAGCCACCCCTGAGGAGATTTCACCGTCACTTGACGAAGCTTACCGCATGATCGAGGAGGCAGCATTGCATAGGAGGTCCTCATGAGGGCAAGGGCAATCAAGTTCCAACATGCCTGCAGATACGGTAACTGAGGATACCATTAGGAGTGCCACTCCTGGTTCTGTGAGGCAGCAGAGGGTAGTTCACCCACCTCCCGCGGAAGACTACGAGCCTGAATTCAGCGCCACTAAGGAACAGACCTAGTTGTATGATATCGTCAAGCGGTTTGGAAATGCGAGGGCTAGCAGCAAGCACATGAAGGAGCTGAAAGCGTAAATGACCACACCCCATAATCTCTCATTTTTCTTTGCTTCTTTTTTACCATTCATCTTCTTCGTACTTCCTATACACGATCCGCTTACGTTTTAGTTCTTTCATATATTTTTTACTTAGTAGGCATGATCCTTCCATGTTATATTGTTTTCATACAGCTCATGTTTGGACAGAACCAAAGTCATTCAATGTGGGTCGACGTACGTCGACCTGGGTGATCTTGCCGAGTCCGTGAGGCCAAACGGTAAAATGTCGATGAATGTAGTTGCATGCGGGATCGACTACATCAACAATCATATGGATGTGTGTGCCGACAAGATAATCATGCATTATAGTGTGACCTGCAAAATATGGGATGGTGACTTCCACCACAAAATCCTGAGGAAGAATTTTGCTCAACACGGTGAATTCAAGCTCACACTGAAGAAATATGTGAGTACTCCTCCCCTTTCTGCACTGTTTTTTCACATGGTGTGGTTTTTTGCCATCATCTGCACTTGTGTTTATGTGGCAGATGTTTTCATATGGCAACAGCTACCGTGCACACTGTCATCTTGATTTTTGCATCCCGTGCAAACTATGTGGCAACTTGATAGTAAAATACACGACACATTTTGTTTGTACATGGACGGCAACTTTCTTTCAACTACCCCCACCCATAACAAAATATTCTACGTGATTCTAATTTTTCTGTCCCTCTGCTGTTCTTTATGTGAACTCTGCTTCTCATTTCTTCACTTTTAAATGCAGGTCATGTTCCCCATGTTCCAGGAGCTTGCACCACATGACCAACAAGACAAGTGTGGTCACCACTATGCCATCTGTCTTGACCTGAAGAACCAATGTTTTGAGGTGCTTGATTCAATCTATTCGGAAGCTGATGCATACCTTACTACGCATGCCGAATTCTTCATCAACAACCTCAAAGAGACATGGAACTGTCACTACGAACATTCAAAGGTCCAGATCAGGCATTTCCCGACTGAGTATGTGGCGACTGCGAAGCAAAGGAACACGTAATTTATTAACCCCCTCCTTCATGTGCCATTTACATCAATCCAACCCCTCTTTTGTTGCCACATCTGAATTGAAGTCTATCTTTTGCTACGTCTGTCCTTTTTGCGTGTTCACCTGACTCTTTTTCTCATGTAGGACGGACTGTGGCTTTCACGCGCTGGAATACTTTGTAAAGTGGGAAGGCAGAATTGTCCCCGCTATCACAGCTGCAACGGTCGTTGAGCTCCGGAAAATCCACACATGAAACTGGTTGACGAATGAAGATTTCAACAAGCGGTCCGGAGCACGCGAGTTTGTGGAGGAAGCTGTCAAGAAAGTCATCAAGAGTACAAGTGATCACGCGGCGATACACACCGGACGCATACCTTACATTCTGTTGCCGAGGAATGTAAGGTACTATCTCTTTTGTTCTCGTCAAAAACTATGTTCGTGTGCTATGTTATGACTGCAACCTCGCGTAGGCTACTATGTAGTGGTGGTGTGTGAGCGACATTTGAATAGTTTCTGTAATATATGTGTGGATGTGAACCTACTTAGGCGTGCCAGCAGATATGTTTTTTATGTTTATCATTATTACTATGGTTTCATCGTTTGTATCACCCGTTTGCAGTTTCGAATGCGTCACGATGTTTTAAAACATGGCAAATGTAGTTCATCAGACATGGTTAGCGAACGTCATTGTCATTGTTCATTTGGACGTGTTGCTTATTCTATTTCATCACTAACTTGACCGGCTAGCATGGTAGGTTTGATCATGTAGCCACAACCTTTGCTGCGGTTTATGCACGTTACGCCTTTTCCAACTTGTTTTCCATACATTGCACACAATACACTATGTGTCTCTAAACCGCGTCATATTGTCATGGAAATATATGCCATGCAGAGTCATTACAAATACCATGGCATATTTTCAGTACAGCTAACATGGCAAATACAGTACAAACAACATGACAGATCCAGCATAATTAACATGGCAGATACAGTACAACTAACATGGCAGATGTAGTACAACTAGCATGGCATATTTAGTA